GAAAGGGGGGCTGCAACAGCACTAACCACCATCACCTCACAGCTAGAAGATCAGCAGTTCATCCCGGTTAGGACCCCTGGAATTTTTCTGTGTGGAGTTTCCATGTTCTCCACGTGCAGCATGGGTTCTCTCTGGGTTCTCTGGCTTCCTCCAACAGTCCAAAAACATGCTGAGGTTAATTGGTGATTCTAAATTGTCCATAGGTGTGAATGTGAGTGTGTTGGTTGTCTCTATGTGTAGCCCTGTGATAGAAAGGCAGTGTCACACTCAGTGTGTGAACAGTGTTTCCTGGCACACTCAGTGTTGTCTTTTGCGGAGCAGTTTATTGTGGAGTAGGAGGGTTATGTAAAAGTGAATGATGAAACTAAACTTTTGGTCTCTCCAGGGCTCACTGTTAACAGCTTTCCTCAGAATTTACATGTCAATCTGCCCCCAGTTTGAGTTTTCAGAGGGTCATATTATGCTGGAGCAGTTTACAGAGACACTTATGAATTAAGAATCAAACCCCACAAAGGATCAATGTTCTCACACAAACCCTGCTTATGTTAACGCGATACAATGAGTAAAGTCAGTATAGGTTGCTCAGAGAGCTGTGTCAAGGAACATAGAACAACATAAAATTTGAATGTTATTACAAAAAACACTTTTCAGAAGTCACTCCCATTGATTTATTAATCACAGCAAATATAACAAAAGAAGTCCAGTTCTAGTTCACAGTAATCCCACAACTCAATCAAATCAAGAAAGTTACTTAAAGTACTGTCCATTTATTCAAAAGAAAGAATATCCTCACACAAAAACTGAGATGCCTCTGTCACAGTGAATCCCGTCACTACTGCTTCGCTGGTGTACAACGCCATGCTGATCTGGACAAGTCCAGATATCTGAAAATAATAGGGCCAGCCTTGTGAGAGCAAGAAAAACTGAACTGATGTTACTGACTGAAAATCCTGGTGATGGGGCTGAAGTGAATAAACAAAACAAGATTTTTTCTGATTATTGAGTACAGTATACTTTGTCCCCTGTGTGTTCAAGGCCCAAAAATGTGACTTACCACTTCTTTACTTTCTCTAACAGTTTGCAAACTGTTGTGATGTTACAACAGGATAAGTACCAGTCACTGAACTAAGTAGATAAAGGGAGAGGTGTGTTGTGGCCTTCCCGCTCAGCAGGATTTAAAGCTACAGACACTGAAACAGCCTGTTCAGAACAGGGTTGAATCTAGGCTTTATACAGTCATTGTAGCATGGACATCTTTGCAGTATTTCAAGCTGAAATTCAAAATTGACACTCTGGGGACATGTGAGACCAACATCAACTTGTTAAAAAGGGTATAACACTTCTGCTGGGCTTTTTCATCTTTATTAAGTCCAGTGTACGCAGTTCTTTTTTTTACAATTTTAATTTCCTCCAAGGAACTGAGCCGTGACACAGTTGTCATGGCCTGTGAGGTTCTTTGTGACACTGACTGTGCAGAATGATGTTCCCCTAATGTTAAGGAACTTCATTTCTCAGAGCTGAAAATCCTCCTCCTCCATATGGATTAAATGAAGATATCAGCTGTATTTATATGATGTAAGCCATGCTGTGGGAAAACATTTATACCAAGTGTCACATCGCTCCACTGCTCTAACTTCCTGACCAACTAGTTCCAGTGTTCAATCTCTGGTAAAGATTTAAGAGGCAGTTGCTGTTCATATCCTTTCTCTCTTCCTCGGTGTGAATATATGCTTTTATCTGTATCATCTTTGTTGCCTTTGGTGTAAGTGACATTCCCATTGTGTGGTGATCCTAACTGTGGTCTCCCTTTCTTCCTCAATTCTATTTCTTGACCTCTGGTCTACATTTGGCTTTGGGATGCCTCTTCATTGTCTGTCTTTTCCTCTCTGTCACCACTTCATACATGTGATCTTGTATTGTTCATGTTGATGACCTCTGGCACAAAAGCCACAAATCATACTGTAGTATGAATCACTGTCCATAAGCTCTGGGCTATTTACTCTGACAGTTTTAACATGTGGTTTGGTGCAGTTTGGCCGTCAAAAATCAGTAATGTGTCATTACTCACTCAGCAGTTGTGCCCCCTGAGAGCATTGAGCAATACTTTTGAACATGTTCCGTGATGTTTCCCAGAGTAACTGGGGTGTGCCAGTTCTTTCTGGTGGTTTATACATTTTTTTGAGTTTCTTTAGTAATTGATCAAACCAGCTTGACTGCCCTCTTCCTCTTTGGGAAAACACTTTCTGTATTTTATTTTTAGTTGGAATCTGTATAACACAAAATACCATTTAAATCTGAACAGTTCCAAAATGTCACAAGGCATGAGAGTTTCGAGGATTCTTCTGGCTTATTATAACATTGTTGTTAATTTTCATTGTTTTGTCAGTTTTATCGAGAAGTGTCATGCCCTCCACCTCCTCTGCTTAGATGGTAGCTCTCCCTCCTTTTTCCCTTTCCCCTGTGTGGGCATGAGTGTGGTGTGTGTCCATATACTTCTCCCTAAATAGATGATTGGATAATCAGCTGACTGAGGATACTTGCAACAGGAGCGGCTCACCTGCTCATTGATTCACCATATGCCATAAAAGAAGGCTCATTCCACTACTCGACGCCAGACCGTTGTGCGACTAGTCAGTCTACTCAGGCCAGCTCAGTTCAGTCATTGTTCTGATTGCTTTTGCTTTTGTTAATTTCTGCTCATCTGTTCAGTCACTCATGTCACGCCCTGTTGGTTGTCCCTGCCTCTACGTAGACTGTATTCTTCACCTGCCTGGATCCTGGTTCACCATACCTGCTCTCCGTGAACACCACATCCCTGAAGACACACTTCCCGGATTCCTGCAGCCACGCAGTGCACCTCCCCCCACTTGCATTTTCCTGGCCTCTCTCCCCAAACTGTTGTCACTAAGTTGTTTAGCTTTACTTTTGGATCAGTTGTCTTTATTGATCAAAATCGTTTTGTTAATATTGTGTGCCTTTGGTAAAACTTGTTCTTGTTTATTTGTCACCTTCTGCGATGTGTTACTCTGTGTGCAAATTGTTTGTAGCTCTTGTTTCTACTTTGCTGGTGCTTTGCTCTTGGCCTGTATTCGGCTTCTTTGTTCCATGCATTAGGTGCACTTTTGTTATTCTGTATACCGCCCTGTGAACTTTCCTAGCCCTCTGCAGTCTCAGTAAAAGCTTTGACTGTACGGTTCATCCAACATGAACATCGAACCCTTCTCCTCGCCATTGGAGGCCAGAGCTTTAAACGGACTGCACCTAACCTGAGTCACTCATCAAAGTGTCCCTTCTCACCTTGGTGTTGGCAGGCATCCACCATGAGTCCATCTCCCTGCACATCATACAGAGCCTTTCTGGACCTAAAGCAGCACATGTCCTTGTACAACCTGACCCTGCTCTTCAGTTGATTGTGGAGATAGACACCTTGGACACTGGTGTAGGGGCCGTACTTTCTCAATCCTTCCCACCCGACAACAAGCTTCATCCCTGTGCCTTGTTCTCTCAGAGGTTGTCACCTGCTGAGGGAAACTATGACATTGGCAAACACAAGCTGCTGGCAGTTAAACTGGCCTTGGGTGAGTGGAGACATTGGCTGGAGGGCACTGAGCAGCCTTTTATAATTGGACAGATCACAAAAAACTAGAGTACATCCAAAATGCCAAGACGTTAAACTACCATTTTCTTGAGTATAACTTTGTAAATAATTTTTTCAAATTCTTATTCTGTGTGCCGTGTCGGTCTGTCTGCACTTGGGTCTCAGTACAAATCATGACAAGAAGAGCGTCAGTTGATATTGCAGATTTTTCCTACTTTTTCCTTTAATTTACTGAAAAGTAATGAGTATACAGTATAGGAGCAGTACAGGACATGCATTCATTGGTGCTGGTTTATAGTTATCAGACTTATAAAACCTAATAACCTTTTCAAAAACAATACCAGGCTGCAAATCCAGAGAAACGCAGGTATACAAACAGTCATAAGCAAATACCCTTACTTCACAATTTTTCGATCTGTGGTGTCAACTGAAAAATGCTTCTTTACATTACCAGTCAAATGGTTGCTGTCATCATTATGTCGTCAGCATGAGATTTCTCTGCTGAACATCCAGCTGGAGTCCAAGACATAGCTGTTAATGTATATTTCATGAATCTTTCATTAGAACAGAGAAAACAAGATTGAATATTTTACATATGTTCCTCTTTTTCAAAAGGATTTTAACTAATAAAGTGACAGCTATATTTTATCACGGAACTTCCTGCTTGAACTGTGCTCAGGAAGACATTGCATACGATAGTTTGACCATATTAAGTTGGTAGGTGTCAAACATATTGGTGCATTTTGCAGTAATAATTACCTGTGCTACTTTTCAGTTCCTTTTTCAAACACACTGACTTTCTTTACAGCTTAACTTGCTGTGGATTGAATTACCACTGGGTTCAATCAGTTACTAACTTTTTATTTCTATAAAAGTCTTACCTAGTCAAATTTTAATTGAATAGATTTGTTACCATTACTCATCACTGAAGTTAAAATAAATTTGTTGCTCTGTGGTGAGAAAATTCAGCTTGTGTTGTTTCCATGTGTTTTTCCACTGTGTGTTGGCTAACATGTTGCACATCTGTTGCATAACACAAGTGTCAGCATTGCTAAGTAACTCGGTTCTGTCAAGTACCATGTTAGCTTACATTTTCAAGGTAGCTGAAAATTCACTTCATTTCAAATACTGCTTTCTGCTTCACCACATCTGTCCAACACCTGTTCAGAGTGGTGTAACTTTTATGTGAACACATGTAGTCACTTTATAAAATTCATGCATTTTTAAGCCATCTTTAAGCAATTACAGTTTGCAAGATGGACCATTGACAACTTCAGTCCAGAGAGGTTACTACATTTCCAAGAGCCTCACAGCAGAATGTTGTGAACAGACATACGAGGCAGAATGAGCTGTAGTTGAGCTGATGGCCCTGACCCTCCTCTGTCTCACTGTCTTTGTACAGGTACGCTACCTGAAGATTATTGAGAAGAGTGGTTACCAGGCCTTGCCTTGGGTCAGATATATTACTCAGAATGGAGGTAAGGACACCCACTCACAGACACATTAGTTATTCCCACTCTGCTGTAGAGACTGCAGAATGGCTGAGTGTTTCTCAGCTTTAGTTTTATTGCATTCATTCAACCCATAGTGGAATTAATTAGAAACAGAGGAGATGATCTTGTTGTTGGGTAGAGATAAAAAGTTAAGTACTAAAAAAAACACAGTGGTGCTTTTGAATATGGAATTGCCCATTGTAACAGTGACCACGTCCTTAAGTTGCTACAATATTAAACACAGCAAAGCAACTGCGGTCTGTCATTTCATGAAACACTAAGAGGCTCCACCTGATGGTGCAATCTGGTACTACAAGCTAACATACATTGCATTTACAAACACGTCTGATGCCTTATTAGTTCATATATTTTTAATCAGTTAAATTAACTACAATTAATCAAAAGTTCATCAGTGACATTCCTGCACTGAACTTCACATTTCTAACTATGGAGCTGCCATTTTCAGAGTACCTGGAGCACAAGAGTACCTGGCACAGCCTGTTGTGCCTACAACATGTCTGTGTTTGTGTTGTCATCCAGATGTTCTGTGAAAAGTTTGGCATTTTATCCAAATTTTATGCAGTTTCAGAAAATGTTGTAAAGTCATACTTGTAGATTGAGTCTATTTTGCTTTTGTGTTTTGCTTAAACATTTTAACATAAGTTTTTTCAAATTGGCTTGGCACAATCAGCGTTAGATTGATCCAATAAGACCTGGCTCCAGCCAAAAAAGGGGCCACTGAAGATGAGTTAAAAGTCTATGAGATACACAGTGGGTTTATGTGAGGAAAATGTCTCTCGTATTCAAAAGCAAATAACAAGGCCTCTTGTCAAATCGATACAGACTGTCATCAGAACTAAAGCATAAAATTGAACTTCTCACCAGTTTTTTGCATTTCACCAGTGCTTCAACTCTTCTACCATCCAGGGTAATGTTGCTTTGTACACTAACCTGAACTTGTGCTGCAAAGTGTTGTGTGGCAGCTGAGCTCCAACTGGGACTGTTTCTCAAATGGTGTCTCTGAATGTCACAGTCCCCTGGCTTCCATCTTTTCCCAGTGTTGGTGCATAGATCTCCTAAAATCTCCTTTTATTTAAAGTTTAAAAAAAAATTTTTTTTCATTTAATTCCTCTTGCTCAGATAAAGTGTTGATTTTAGAGGATTTTAACTTTAAAATTCATTGCCCATCGAAACACAAGGTGAACAGGTTTTATGTCTTGTGGAATCTTTTAATCTCTCTCTATAAGTGTCAGTTCAACACATCAAAGTGAATCTATGTTCGAGTCACACAAAAATGTATAAAGATTATTAAATTCAAAAAGATTATAGTAAGAGTAAAACTGTTTTCAGCTATACATTTGTAAAACAGAATCTTAGCACTGTCTCCTGCTACAGGTTTTTTCAACATCTGCTGAGTCATCCACTGTGTTTATTGTGCATTATCGAGAGGACCTGCTCAAGCTCCAAATTGCAGTACCAACATCATCAATCCCTCTGTTAAGAACTGATTTCTTATCAAAAATTATTTTTACTTTCACTTTAGCTTTAAATGCAAACACAAACTGTGCAAAACTATGCCAAATAAAACTGTTTTAGAATACTAGTCATTGATGATAATAATTCCTGATTATGAATTTGCCCCCAAAAATCAAAATGAATCAGAAGAAGCAGAATGGGAGGAAAACAGGACTTGCTGTAGAGGTAATCAAACTCCTCAACTTTCCCCTGCAATTATTTCTGGCCAGCCTTCAGCTCACCGGTCAGCTCGTGACAAAGGTAGACAAACCTCCTGGGAGTCCATGTGCACAAGCCTACATTGCCCTGTACGGCACTGCTCCCAAATGTTTGTCTTACCTCTCATCTCAGGGCTGCTGCCAAGGCCCACAGTCAAGAAGTGATTTAGGAATGCTCACACACAAGAAGGGGAATTCTGCATTGGTTGTCAGGGATAAATAACCCAGATTTTTCTCTTAGTGGCTCATTCAGTCTCTTTCTTCGGTTTGACAAGAGCCAGTAAAATAGGCATAATGCAGGTCTGCCAAATTACTTTTGCACTATGTTATATTGAGCCTACACTTCATGCAGTGGAGGCCTGGATTTTCAGGGTGGGTGGATCTCTTCACATGTTATAGAACAGCAGATGGTTGAATATGCACTCTATACTCAGAATGTTAAAGATCTTCTCAAGAAAGGCTGAGCAGCATAAGGAAATGTCTGATTAATTGTTAACATTGCTTGGGACAGTGTTGCAGTTTAAATTGTGATTTCCTTTCTGGGTACTTTTTACAAACCAGTCAGTTAAGATTAACACATGGCAAGAACTCACACTCAGAACAGGTGGACACAAATGCTTGACACACACAGGTTCAGGCAAAAAGGCAGGTTTATTACCAGGCAGGGTTTGGGACACAGGAGATCAGTCAGACAGGCAGAGGTATCCAAAAACGAGAGGCAAAAGGCAAGGTCAAAAGCAGAAGTGAGGTCGTTCACAAAACAGACTATGGCTATGGCTATGGCTATGGCTATGAAGAACGCTGGGACGAGGACCGTGCAGTACAACGAACTGGCAATGACACTGTGAGACACTCAGGGTAATATACACGAGGTAATGAGGGAAGATGGGAAACAGGTGAGGGAAACCATCAGGGAGCAGGTGTGACGAGACGGGGACAGGACGTGCAGGAAGTAAATCTGCGACAGAGACAACAGGTTAGTGAATTTCAAAAGAAAACAGGAAAGACAAGACAAAATGTGCACACAAAACAGAAACTTGACAGACATGACAACACAAGTGTTGGACACATAGACTGTATAAAAGATGGACGTAGCTACCGTGACGTCACCCGTTGGTTTCTGCACTGAGAAAATGAAGCCAGGGTTTTGCTACTTCCTGGTTGACATCTTGGATTTTTGGAGCCAGTGACGCAAAAATCGTCGGAGGGGGCGGAACCATAGGAGCAGCGATTGGTCAGACGGATTGAGAGGCAGGCCCTCTCTGCCCGCCCACATTTACTGCCTTCTGCTCGCTTCGTCTGCATCATCGCTGCCAACTGTCGATCAAGCCAGCCATGCCCCTTGCCCCGCAAAATTTTGACGATTTTTAAAAAATTCTGTAGTGATTTATTTTCAGATTGGCCACCTGATCTCTGGATTTGACTATGAAAACTAATAAGAAAAAAATCCTGAGCTGTAGGAATGCAGTACTTCATGATCTCTGATCACTTCTTTTCCAATTCAAGTCTATGGGAGCCAGGGCTTTTTGGAGCCAGCAACTAGCGGACATAGTGATATTGCAGGTTTTTGACACTTCCGGGTTGGCTTTTTATCTTTTATACAGTCTATGGTTGGACATTTAGCTAACAGTCCAGTTAGTCAGATGTTGAATCACTATTTTACTTTATGGTTTTTATAATAAATACATTATCAATAGGGCTGCAAGGTGGCATGGTAGGTAGCACTGTTGCCTTGCAGCTAGAAGGTCACAGGTTCTCATCCTGGTGAGGACACCCAGGATCTTTCTGCGTAGAGTTTACATGTTCTCCCCATGCAATGTGGGTTCTCTCCAGATTCTCCAGCTTCCTCCCACAAGTCCAAAAACATGTTGAAGTTAATTGGTGATTCTAAATTGTCCGTAGGTGTGAATATGAGTGAGCTTGGTTGTCTGTCTCTATGTGTAGCCCTGTGATAGACTGGCGATCTGTCCAAGGTGTCCCTTGCCTTCGTCCTAAGTCGGCCGGGATAGGCTCCATCCCCCTCCCACATCCCTAGTGAGGATTCAGCGGTGTATAGATAATGGATGGGTCTGCACGGTGGCTCGTTATATACATACACACATATATGTACTAACTGAGCGGAACTTTCTGGGGCCCTCAATACCACCCCTGTTTTTAGAGGAAGAAAATACAAACATTTTAAGGTCTGGAGGCATAAGACATTCTCGAAATTTTCCATTCAACATTTTGTAGAACTTAGTTTTACCTTCTGCATTTCTGTTTCATTGTGCATGTTGTCAATCAAACTGAAGTGTGGAATTTCTTGTATACCTGCATTGCCTTCTTAAGGCTGGACTCTGGCTTTGATGTGGTCAGACTGATAATGGGTCATATAGCGGCTGATGGCACGTGGCAGGCAACGTGCGTGTGTGTGTGTGTGTGGTGTGACATGGTGACGCCACTCCAGTAAACCTGTGGTTTCACCCCTGCACCGTTGAGACTTTATTGTCCACCACATGTGGCACAGTTTTGTGTATGTGTGTGTGTGTGCATTTCTGCACAGATGTAAGTGTGTCTGCATGTGTAGCTTTGAGACGATATTAAACCGAGAAGCTTGAATCAGCAAAGTGCCTAAAAATGCAGAATGTGGAAATACACACGTCTTGTGTGGGTACATAGTGCATGTGCAGAGCACACACAAATATACAAAAAAAAACAAAAAAAAAACGTCTGCCTTGCATGCATTCTCACTTGGAGAGAAGGGGAGAGGGGCGTATTTAATAGCTCAAATTAAAGACCTCCCGTGAGGTTTTTCAGTTGAAGGACCAATCTTTAAACAGTAAGCTACCAATTACCAGCAGCCGCCAGCCCTACCCATCTATTACCACATCCAGAGTAGAAGTGGGGACCTCAGCTGTCTTCCTTTCCTCCCTTTCATGTTGCCTCGCTCCAAAGCCTTGTAGGAAACGAGTGGCGGTGTTTGATGGTCACAGGACAGGCAGTTAAAGCCGTGGTTAGAGGAGGGGGGGAGAGGCAGTCCATTCATTGTCTGCACCAGCACAGTGCTATGCTACAATTAGAAATACACTAACAGACTACAGGTTTCTGCTAGACCCGTTGGCTACACTGTGGTACACAGCAGGTACATCAAGCCACTCAGTGCTGTGGTTGGCATATGTCATGCAATTTTCCCTCCTGGGCCTTTGGTAAAGAAAATGCCAGTGGGGAAATTGATGACTGGTTGTCTGACTTTTCTTTCTTAAATTCAGACAC